TCTTTATTTGGTGAATATTTTTGGTAAAAAGTGATGCTTTGATACATACGGTAAATTAATATCTAATATCTTCAATTGTTTAATTGAAATGTGCATGCTAACAGAGCTATCTCAGTGCAGAGGCTGCTTGTTTTGTATGTGCAAATTGCAAGCTTGTGCTTACACATAGTGCAGAAGCTATATTCCTGTTTAGGACTACAAGGCTGTGCAGCCATCTCTCTATCAAATGGCAATTCAGTGTGCTATCATATGGCGACAACCAGTCCCAATCGAACACAAGCACCTGCACCTTAACCAGTTCGAAAATAAAATTTGTTTGAGTAGCAGCAATCTGGATTCAAAGAAGTACAAGATTTGCATTCTCGCCGCCAGTTTATTTTTGCTTTGAGACTCAACTAAATATGTGTAGGCTTGCCGTAAAAGAAGCCATGGCGTACGACGATGGAGATTTGTGGTTGCATACACCATATAATTCACCATGATACAAACATGAATCTGATTGTTCTATACACATGTATAATGTTACAACATACAACCCGATAATAGGGCTGCAGAAAAATTTGCAGAATTACTTTATTACAGTACAGCAACATCAGCGCTATTGGCCTATTTGGAGTCTTTCTTCTAGGAATTCTAGGCTCTTAAAGATACAATTTTAGCCTAATCTGTAACAGTCATCAGCAAAATGTGGACACTGAAAACGTAGCATATAGACTACATACCAAAGTTGTACGTTGAATCACTTGAAAGATTGGCCACAATGCTACACCCTGGTCTCCAGAGAACGCCACCTATTGAAATCCACTTTTGTAAAGTAAACCTCGGGAGGGGTTACAATACAAGATGACAACTTACCCGGAGGCAAATGTGTCATCTTGAGAGGCTAAGCCACTCTGATGATTTTATTTGTCGCATGCAATAGTGCAAATCACATGTCACAACTCCTTCACTATTATAACCGCTAAACTGGATTACGGCAATGCCTTGCCAAATTCACCTGCTTCAGAGGGCTCAAAATGTGCTGCGCGTCTAATTACACATACCAAAAAAATTCATATCACTCCCATTCTTCGTAAATTACATTGGATGCCAGTTTACTATACGATACACTTCAAAATTTTACTACTCTCGTACAAGTCACTCACTGTAATGTTTGACACCACCCTACATATCGGACCTTCACAAAAATTGAAACCAGAGAACCCCTCGCTTAAGAAACATACACTTGCCGTACATCGACTCATCTCAAGAATTATGGTGACCGGTCATTCCTCACCATCATTATGGAATCAATTACCAACTGGTAACTTCAAAACCGAACTCAAATCTTAGCCGTTTCAGCAAGCCTATCTGTGAAACTAAGTGACATTGAGCATCACTGCGATGAATACTAGGCGCTATATGAACTTGTATTATTATCTACATTTCCATCATGTGACCAGTTTCAACAATGTAAATTACTCGTTGCAGTTTTGAGTTATCGCCCCGTGTAGGACCATTTTGTCTATGCAATTATGTCCAAAACAACATTTCAGTAATCTATTTAAAAAAAAAATTAGATATTTTTGCTTTAAATACTGATGTCACTATTGTAAGGTTACGGCTAGCCAAGGAGATGAGATGAGACAAGACTTTATGGCAAAACTACATGGAAATAGAACTATATTTACTTATGGACGTTTTAATATTGAACAAATATTCCATTTTTTCTGTGTGTGCATGTGGCTCAAGTCGAAAATCCCAAATCCTGCTTTACATTTGCAATTTTAGCATGCAAATTGAGGAAATTAATCAAAATCACAAAAGTGAACAGTTGTAAACACTGCCTAAGAAATGTTCTTGGTATTTTATAGCAATTTGAAAACATGGTACAGAATTGACTTGCTACATAAAATGCAAGTCATTTCTACCTGCAAATGTAAAAGTTTTAAATTATTCAGTAAAATGGATTTAAGTTGGTTAAAATTCTTTTACTCCTGAATACAAAGTCCTTCCTGCAGCCTCAACATTTCATCTTGAGTCAGACTTTATATCCCAGATACGATGTCAAAATAAAGAGGGTCTCAACACAATTTCAATTCAACCTTCAGTTACAAAGGCAGACTTTATTTGCCAAGATAATTTACAAGTATGATTTTATTAGCGTCAATTTCAGAGTTGGTACAGAAGAAGTGTGAAGCACCTTGATTCTTGGCAAAGAGATATTTGTCTTTTTTTCTGTCTACATGACACTTCCTTGTTTACCAGGGAGGCAATGAAAATCCCTGTTATTCAAAGACTTCAAATGTAGATTTTTTTTTTGTTAAATTAGACCAGTCGGCTGACTTGCCATACTCTGATAAGGTTGTCAGTGTAACCAGCAAACAGGGTTTGTCCATCTGCGGACCATGCAAGGGAAATGCACTGTGGTGGTTCAGCTTTGCTACTGCCGGTGATTACTTCAGGTCGCAGCTCATCAACAATAATCTTGCCTTCTAAATCCTGTGATAATGAAATTATATTGAAAATGTAACTTCATAAAAAGGAATATAACTAACCGATTTGCAAGTGATAACACGCGGATAATGACAGAATTGAAGGCTGCATTTTACAATAAGAAATTCATCAAAGAGATTATCATCTGATGTGACTCATAAGGCTGGTCAATAGAAGTGGAGTTATGAGAGATTATCTACAAATCTATCAGCCTGTGATGCTCTGAGTGATGAAATTTGAATGCACAATGAAATGGGTGCTCTCAACCAACCACTATGAACTAATGGGTAGGCGGGCAAGCGCACTACTACACAGCAACATAGAAAATGGGGACAGAAAACGACTACTTACCCATATTTTGATGGTAGGTCCAGTTGCCGCACAAAGCCAATAACGATTTGGACTAAAACACAGTGCGTTGATAATCTCACCACCATCTAATGTGTATAAATGTTTCCCTTCATTCAAATCCCACAACATGGCTTGACCATCCTACAAATACAAGCAAACAATTATATATACTGCCAGTATTGCAAAACAAATGACAAACTCACCAAATCGGAGACCTCTAGGTTGAACAAACTGATCATGAAGTCACTATTCATCAATAATACAGTAGAGCATTTAGCTAAATCTCTTTGTCAATCAATAAATTTAGTTTTGGAAGAATTGGTGAATGGGTAGAGCGCACCTTTCATATTGCCATCCTGAAGGAAGTTAATAAATAAACTTGCGACAACGATTACCAAATTATATCTACTATATATAATCCTGAATGCAGACTTACCTTTCCCCCAGAAGCACACAATGATCCATCTGGTGATACAGTTACACAGTTCAAATATCCTGAATGCCCAATATGGTTTGTCTTGAGTTTACAGTTTGTTAAATTCCAAACCTATCAAAAATAAGAAAATAGATAACAAATCTGAGATTAAAATAAGTACTATCAGAATAGTCAACGACCAAGATGGGCTAACAATTCAGTATTTTGGTATGGCATTACAAAGCAAATATAGTTTTTCACAAAAAACTTCTATTTTCTGTAACATACTTTAGAAAAGTAAAAAGTATGGATTTTTTCATGTAGTTTTTTCTTGTTACAACAGTGTTTACTTTTTTTCTTGCATATAAAGACGATTATTGCAAACTCAGTTTTGAATTAGCGTAAAATCTCATTCAAAGCTTTGCCTAATTTTGTGATGTTTTCCCAAATACTAGTACTGTTTATTGCAGTAAAAATAAGGTAGGGTCAGGTTATAGGAATTTTTTGTCAGGGCCTTAGTATGTACAAAATGTCATCAATTGCCCAAAACTGATTACGTGTAATTTTAAACTGACCTAATTGATACTGAATTGAGGAGCAGAACAGAGTAGCACAAAAAGACGAATGACTATACCTTGACATGCTTATCCCAACCACAGGACACAATGATGGGGTTCTGGTTATTTGGTGAAAATCGAACACATGACACCCATTCAGTGTGTCCATCTTCCTGTAACAAAAAGGTAAGAATCAATTAAACGTAATCATTTCTAATATCTAGATATTCAATTGAATATCTTAAAGTCATTTATCCTCATAATTGCAGGACATATTTCAGCAGTATGAAATCAGGTAGATTATGTCTTTTTCAAATCATTGGATAAACAGACTTGCATGCAATTCAACTACAATCTTAGAAAGAAAGCTTAGAAAGAACTCCCATGTGCTGAGAGTATTGGAGACATATTAAATATAATTCAAAACTACTTGTCAGAGATAGTGATGGAAAAGCCGAAAACTAATAATGCAAATCAGAAAATTAATATAAACAGATTTTAACCCCAAACTAATCAGGTTTGTACATTGTCCTAGAGCATCTTTGCACTGAGTTTCATTGAAATGGAATAATTAGTACTTTAGATATCAGTGTGATAGCTTAAAAGTGGTTAGTTATGTAAATTAGTAATTAATATGTACAGATTTAAACCCACAATTGTCTATTGTCCTAAAGGATCTATGTACCAAGTTTCATTGCAATGTGATAATTAGTACTTGAGATATCTGTGGAAAAGCTGAAAATTAACTAATAATGCAAATTAGGTTATTAATATGCACAAATATTTATCCCAAAACAATCAATCTCTGAATAGTCCTCGAGTATCTATGTACCAAGTTTCATTGAAATTTAATGCTTACTACTTAAAACATTAAAAGCTGAAAATTTATTAATTATGCAAATTAGGTAATTAATATGCACTGACATTACCTTAAAAACTATCAAGTCTGTGCAGTGTCATATGACATCTATGTACCAAGTTTCATTGAAATGTGATGATTAGTACTTGAGATATCAGTAGAAAAATCGAAAATTGACTAATCATTATACAAATTAGGTAATTAGTGATTAGGTAATTTTTACCAAAAACTAATCAAAACCAAGCATTAGTTCAGAGCATCCATGTACCAAGTTTCATCAAAATCCAATAAGTGGTTCTTCAGTTATCAATGGAACAGCTAAAAATTAGCTTATTATCATGCAAATTAGGTAATTAATATGCATGAAATTTTACCAGAACCTAATCAAATCTGCGCATTAGAGAGCATCTATGCACCAAGTTTCATCAAATACTGATGTATGGTTCTTGATATATCAGTGGAACAGACTGACACACACACACACACACACAAATACATAGATACATACAGAAACACTAACCGCAGAGACTCCCATTTTGTGCTTCGCACATGGGAGTCAAAAATTATGGAAACAAATATAATTTTTCAGTTGATCATATTTTTAGGATGACACAACCTACACACAAAAGAATTAAATTGGCAATGGGCATCTATACTTAAAGTTGCACTCTGAGCATTCATCAAGCATTAGAGACCTGGCACTATAATGTAAAATATATTTGTGCTCATTACAGGAAAATAAATAAGAATTTGCCAGGATTGTGTCTTCCTAATCACTGATGTTGGTAGTAGTTTGGAACAAATTAATTTCGGGAGAATCAACCTGCATTGAAACACTATTAAAAAGTGATAGTAAAGGGAATTCAAACAATTAATTGGGAAGCCAGAATGATGTCCAGTGTTAAGACAAGTGAAAAGAATTAAATGTGAACATCTATTACACAATTTATGCAAATTGAGACCAACAATAATCACAGTTATCTCAAGACCTCAATGAAGTCTAATAAACGCTCTGAGAGAAAGCTCACATTTCTGAAAAAGCACAATTTTTTTGCACAAAAAATGTGCACCATTTCCTAAAGCGAATTTACAAATCAAACCAATAGAACTATGTTATAGGAGCTAGAAATTCTAGTACCCCCCTCCACACTCACTCACTGGCAAATGATAATGCCTGTATCTGGGAGCTATGATTTGCATATTCATAAGTGATGTCATAAAAGCAAATGACCAATCCGTGCTTGTTTTATAGCATTGCACTGGTCGTCAGTTTCTGCAAGTAGATTGTTTGGTTCCCTGGAATGAAAGATGTGCTGATTGCATATACAGCTTTCTGTAGACAATACAAATTCTTACCTGGATTGTGTATTTACAAATTCCCAGTGTATTCCATAATTTGATGGTTCTATCACGAGACCCGGATACAATCTGACGATTGTCAGCAGAGAAGGCCACGCTTAATACATCTTTTGTGTGTCCAACAAAACGACGCGTTGTTACGCCACTGGAGAGAGAAAAAAAGATAACTCAATAGTAAATAGATTGCCAGGACTGATAAATATATTAGTAGACAATATTTTGTAATTAACAAATTTTACAAAACATTACTCCATTTTTATGCAACTAATACATTTAAAAAACTTTTCAAAATGTCTTAAGAGCTAAAAACTGCTGAACACAGTTAACACATTGAGGGGAGCTACGCGACAAGTTATTTGTGTTCACTCCACTCACCTATCACTCAATTCAGACCATTTTGAAGACATTTTTTATAGCATAGTTCCCCAATGACTTCAGGAAACCAATTTTTAGCTCACTAGCTATTTTCATAAGAGAAAGCATGGAACTATGCTATAAAAATCTTTTCAAAATGATATGAATTTCTACAACAAAGTCAATGTCACTTACGTGGTAAGATCCCAAAGACGTAGAGTACCATCCCAAGATCCAGACAGTGCGAACTGGCCATCTGAAGACATCACAACATCACTAACAAAGTGAGAATGACCTCTTAGTGCCCTTTGCGGAATTCCGTAGTTGGTTTCATCACGGGTCAACTTCCACATAATAACAGTTTTATCTGAATACATATAAAGATACATGTGTTAAATTATTCAGACGTACAAGACAAATGATGTCTACTTTATTATTGCATACTACATTGCACAAAATTAAAAGTTTAATTGTAATATTTACAGATCTAATTTCTGGTTATCTGGGAATGAAATAGAATTTTTTCCCTGAATGCACAGTGTGCATGTTGAATTTGAAATTTACCTGCAGTAATTTGTTGTGAAATGCACCACTTATGAAATTTACAGGTTCTTGATTGATGCGATCACAAAAGAATTTTGCTTTTTTTTGAGCTGTCTTACAATGTTGGTTGAACTTAATTTAGGCTTAGTGAATATAATGAGAAAATGTTGTGTTAATGTCTATATGCACAGCGTGCACATTATATTTAGAGTTTACTTGCACTAGCTAATAATCTATGTGCATTCGACCCCTGGTTATTGATAGTTTTGGTTTGGTTCATTCATTGCAGTTTCAAGTTGCTACAGCTACTACATGATTTTCTGCGATTGCGCCTGTGTCGAGCTAATCTAATGTATCGGTAATTGGGATGAATTAACCTGTGGGACGAATAAACTAATACACCCATAATGGTGCAAAAAGTGAGGGAGAGGAAGAGTGGTTAATTTAATTTTGTCATTTTTTCTATACTAGCTTCAGTTTGTACCTAATATCATATTACCATTGAATACATTTCAACCAGCCATTTTGGAGAAATAGCCCTAATGCACTACATAGAATAATTACATTCTTGGTAACATCACATGCACAAGTCTATGCCATCAGGATCATACAAATTTGCACATTACAACATATGGGAACATTATATTAACAAAAGAATCTTTGTAATTATTGAGTACAGTTAGCAAATGTAAACTATTCTTTGTCAAGTAAACCATTTGAAATGTACAGAATTTTACAACATTTTGAGTCTAATATAAGAAATGGCATGATACATCAAAGAAACACAATTGCGGATTATCATTTCTGAATCTTGAATAATCTGCTATATTGAGAAAATCATATCCCATAATTTACAAAGGAGTTTGCAAACTTCAATTAAACGGGAAAAGAAAATAAGTACCTATCATTACTGGGGGTTCGAATAATTGTACTCATCAGGTCTGACAATATGTATTGTATACGTATTACATCAAATAACAGATTAGAAGTAAACTTTAGTCGACTGATATTCCAGATGACACAAACAGAGCAAGATAGTGAATGAACTTGGTATAGACAATTTCGTGGTGTTTGGGAAAATCAAATATAGACACACGACGTGGAAAACCATACTCTAGGTTGAACATGTGATATTATTTCTAACACAAAATGGCCGACATGGAAACTTGCCTCTGGATGCCGACAAAATCATGTCGGGAAACTGGGGTGTTGTAGCGATTTGGGTAACCCATCCATTGTGTCCCTTTAGGGTACCACGTAGTGTCATCTGTTCCGTCATCTTTATATGATTTTCTTTTCTCCTGACGGTGGATTACATCGGATTTTACGGCCTTGCCATACAGGTTGTCCTACCACAATGATGGACGGGCCAAAGAGGAAGAGCGCTTCGCGGATAGTTTTTTTCATAGGCATAACTCGTCGCAAGGGGGCGCAAATCAAAAAATAATTCTGCTGACTGAGTCCACGAGCTGTACCTAGACTTAAATTACTTGAATACGCGTATAACAATAATTGTTTTCGTGTATTATTTTATGGAGCGAATCGAAAAACGATAATACATAAATAAACCACGTCTCCCGAGTCCGAGTACTTAATTACTCTTTATACCTTAACTTTATTTTATTGAAATTATTCACTTAGAAATGAACATGGTCAAGTAAAGATGGGTAAAAAGAAAAAAAGTAAACGATTCTAAATCTACTGAAAATGGTAAAAAAAAAAAACGCATTGGGCGTGAAATCCATCAAGAAATATATATTGCTCCGGATATATATCCGTGTGCATTATATATTCGCTCAGTAATGTATTTGTATTACTCGTAATATAAAATTGTTCCTTATTTTTGATTTATTGATTTATTAGACCAGAATATTTGGTTGCCGTACTCTTCCATGTTTTTGACAATCAAGTGAGTTATCATTGCACCTGTTATATGTCCTGTCTTCTAGTTTACTTTTTGGTCTGGTATGCCCGCAACTTACAAATGTTTTTTTTTTTTTTGTAGTTCTTATCTCGAACATTAAATAAATACTTTTTCATTTGAAAGTACCTCTTATTTTTTTGGAAAATTTGGAATTTGTTTATTCACCCGATGCTGTTATTTCTATATTAATTTCTCTCCTCCACTTACTTTTTTAACCTCTCTCAATTTGTTCAATTATATTAGTCACACAGCTTCTATCATTGTTCCAAACTGAATATATTCAATGTTATTTGCTGTAGTGTTATTGCTTCTATGTTGTTCTATGTCAGTATTTTATCAACATCTCTTTTTATAAAAACAGAAAGTGGCTGCCTCCCTAATGTTCCAGTCAAATTAGTAGCAGCACGATTTACCTGGAGAAACACATTTTTCAATCACAGTTATCACAGTATTTTCTGTTCCACAAATTTTACAGCCATATAAAACAAACAAGGCAAAATAAAACAATCCAAAGAAAACCAACCGCTTTCGTATTTATACTGGCACTGATTTTGAGAGAAAAAAAAACATGTTACTTAATTAGAATATAACAAATTAAAAATATTCGGCTACATTTCAGTCACAATAAAAGCCGGGCCAATATTGACCTGAGTCACTACATTTGTTTATTCCTGGACAAAAGGTCGTCTGCAAAAAATGTCAGCTAATATGATTGACCTGGGCCATCACAGTTAAGTAGGATCTGCGAGTTTT